ACTTATACAAACTGTTCATGTGTAGTGAAATCCACTTATTCTCTCTTGTACTACAGTCTACAATGACTTATACAAACTGTTCATGTGTAGTGAAATCCACTTATTCTCTCTTGTACTACAGTCTACAATGACTTATACAAACTGTTCATGTGTAGTGAAATCCACCTATTCTCTCTTGTACTACAGTCTACAATGACTTATACAAACTGTTCATGTGTAGTGAAATCCACTTTTGTATAAGTCATTATATGCTGTAGTACAAGATAAGATAAGTGGATTTCACTACACATGAACAGTTTGTTTAAATCAATGTAGACTGTAGTACAAGAGAGAATAAGTGGATTTCACTACACATGAACAGTTTGTATACGTCATTGTAGACTGTAGTACAAGAGAGAATAAGTGGATTTCAGTACACATGAACAGTTTGTATAAGTCATTGTAGACTGTAGTACAAGAGAGAATAAGTGGATTTCAGTACACATGAACAGTTTGTATAAGTCATTGTAGACTGTAGTACAAGAGAGAATAAGTGGATTTCAGTACACATCAATAGCTTGAATAGGTCATTGTAGACTAGTACAAGAGAGAATAGGTGGATTTCACTACACATGAACAGTTTGTATAAGTCATTGTAGACTGTAATACAAGAGAGAATCGTAAGTTACTCAAGGAAACAACATGCATTAACAGAATAACAGATGATTGGTTTAGACACAAAATTGGGAATTAAAATTACCACAAGATCCTCCCCCACTAAGCATGAAAAAAAATCTGTCTATAAATAAAAGGCACAATCCTGTTGTCAAACCAACATGCTGAATTCATAAGGTTTTCTTTTATTACAAAGGACTAAACTGTTATGTGAAGGAGTGAGTCTCAAACTAGAAAATGTAGTGACTACAGCATGTACATTTGGTTCCAAATAATAGACAACTGGGAACAATACTTGCTTTGTATTCATAAAACAAGACCTCTTTAAATTGAATTCCCATTAATTATGTACAAGAATAAAAATGCTTCCAAAAATGTATTTAAAATTAATATCATATACCCCCAAATGAGTTTACACAATTCACATCAGCATCTTCTACAGAAATAATATATGAAGTTTCTTGTTGTACTTCAGCTTGTTAAAAAGGTTATTATTTTTAGAAACAATGGCTTCCTTCATTCTTACCCCTACAGTTAAATCAAATGAAAGTATTAACAATTCCAAGAAAACACTTCAATTTCTCCAGTAATGTTACAACTTATAAATTACTGGAACCCCCTAGTCAGTAAAGGCTGAACAAGCAATCCTGTAGTATTTACCTATTTGTTGTTTTTTATACCAATCATAATCCAAGTAAATTTTGTTTATATCAATACTGAACTAAATGAGTTAATGTAAAATCTTTCCCTCTAAGTAACTAGTATCAAATATTTGCAGGTTAAGTCTCATGGTGTCTGTAAATATTCCAGGGATCAAAATTTTACATTCCTGCATTCCTGAGGAATTTCATCTTTTTAGATGGCTTTCCCAATCGGGAATGCCTGGTCCATCCGTATTTCTTTAATTGACCAATTAAAATGAACATAATGCATGGATTAAATAAAAAAAACAGTTCATGAGGAAATGCAACTTTACATGAGGGAATGTAATTCGTCGACTTCTGAGTCCATAGATGAGTAAATCAATGTATCTATACAGTATTAACACAGAAGTTTAAAGTTTCAGATGAAATATTCATGATCAGAAATAATGAGATCTTATGAGAAATGGTAGTAAAAGTAGAACAAGTTTATTAACATTATCAAAAGGTCTTGTATATGCATAATTTAAAGTCAAGTGTTGAGTGTTATAACGAATATAAGAATAGAAATAATGAAATATAACTAAATTCACTCAAGGGAGAGCTATCAGGAAGCTTCGCCAACAAAAGCAGCGTAGGGAGCGTGACTGGAACCTCACTTTTAGACAGGCCTCACCTGTCACAGTAGACCAGTCAAGAGGTATTGACTACCATCTTCTGATGATTCAAGAAGACAGAGACACTGCTCTCCTTGCACTCTTAGAAAGTTTCATGGAATCAGCACCTCAGCTGGTGCTCCAGCTTTACATTCTAGCCCAGCGAGAGGAGGTACCTGCCGAGTTCCTTACAGGTACAGTTAACGAGATTTATTTTACCAACTACCTTGCTTATATTCAATAGTGGCACATGTCTTATGTGTATTGGTTTGAAAAATCCATATGTTTTTAGCTTACACATAATTTTAATATTCTATTGTTTTAATGTTCAAGATTACATAATCATAGCCACTGTAATTACTATCTGTCTGTCCTGCTTTACTTTTATTTACCACGGTATTTGTCATATTTTGCCTATATAAATGTTAAGTGTATTTTTGTTACAAAACTTCACTACCTTATTAAGTGGCTTTATCTTGCACATACACATACATACACCATTACTGTTATAATAATGTTCTGTTCTTGCTATTTTATATCTTAAATTCCATTTGTAAGTTATCTAGTCATGATGTTATCAAAACTCAGCTTTTGATGCTGTTGATAAGGAGTGATATGAGGAGTATATGACTTCCTACCTGTATAAATAGCTCCTCTAAAATAACGTTAAGTAAAAAGTTGAGGTTAGTCGTAAGCCCAATCTGTATAATTAAATACTTTAGTTATCTAAAGTTTCAAAACTGAATGAATGGCTTCCTGAACAAGTCTTAATTTAAAACTTGTAAAATGGAATAAACATTCAAAGATATTCATAAAGCAACACCTCACTTCAAGAATACCGAACATACCTTTATTTTTATGCTAATATTTTTCATTAGTTATAGTACAGAATCTACTTTTAATTACTCTTTTTATCATTTATCAAAGAAATTTGAAATTTTTAAGTTACATGCTGGACACAGATTTTCTTTGTCTGCTATGTCTCATCTTTTACAGAATTCATTTAAATTCAGCTGGATTTTTAAGTGTAATCTGAGTAACTCATTGTGTCAGTTATTGTGAGTACAAATTGTAATTACTCAAACATTCAAAAATCTTAGGTTTCAGAAGTTGTAATTTCACTCAACAAGTGCATTCACTTGTCCAACCAATGTAGCAATCAGAACCATGCAACTTTACTGTTCAGAGGATAAATCAGGAATACAGTTTACCCATCAAGTGGGAGACCAGATTTAAAGACACACAGTTTTAATATGTTTTTATGTATACTATAGTTTCAATAACTTTTTTTAAATTATATATTTACATCTTATACCAACAATTTTTTGAAGAATTTGCATTCATTTGTGGATTTTGGTTCATATCTTAAACCAATCAATAACTTCTATCTCTCTCTTTACTATTTGCTAATTCCAGCTGCAGCTCAAGAGTTCAAATTAATTTACAATCATCATTTAAGATGATAATTTCTATCTGATTAAAATATTTTGATATTTTTTCATCTATGCTGTTTTACAGTGTGTCTTCAGGTGGCTTCAGTGGCTTCATCACTATTCGAACTCTCCTGGGCTTTGGCGTTCTACCAGCGTGCTCTGCGAAGATCAGTTCTTGACAAAAAGAACATGACCCGAATAGGGACTGCCCTTCAATTTCTGTGGCGTTTTTGTACCATTGGAGCACGTGTACTTGCACTGGCATTGTTTGCCTCAGAATACAAACTATGGATGGTACCAGTGTGTGTAGGTCACTGGGGTATTATGACCGTGTGGATAATGCATCAACGTACTCACTTCTGTGATAACGAGACAGGGGAAAAACGTCAGTGTGAAGAGTACTTGTTCAACATGGTCATTGGTGTGATTTACCTATTCTGCTTCTTGAATATAAAGGATGAACCCACACGCTACAAAGTAACTGTATATTACATCATTGTTTTCCTAGAGAACTTTATTTTGATTGTACTGTGGTATATACGGACAGACCCTAACGTGTGGTATCATCTACCTGCCTTTGTCAGTGTTTTTGCTAGCTCCCTGGTGGGTGTAAGTATTATGACAGTCTACTATCATTTTTGTCATCCCAAAGGAAAACTTCCAGAAAAAGATCACCAAGCAGGCTGCTGTTAATTGATAGAGATCAAAGAAGTATTAAACTAATCATTTATAAGATGGGAAATATTTCGCAGTAGGTCAGGTTTAATAGGGTAAAACAAAAGTGAACTATTCACGTGTTATAAAAGTGACTGTGATAATCTCTGTAAGTTACCAAGTAAATTAAAGAAACAATTTTGGTATGACCTATAAAACAATCATCTGCATTTTGTATGATCTTAACTGTGGAATGATCAAGACCCTTTAATAAGATAATAGTACATCTTGTAAGACATTCTTACAATCTCTATGTGTTTTTACTGGAAACTGTACAAAGTCTTTTTTTTTTCAGTGTTGTAATTAACAAAATAAAATAGATGTGTCTGTCTGTATGTGGTGTATAGTTAATGATTAAACAAATATTTATGTAAAAGTAGACATTACTGATATGCACTGCAGACTTAAGAAATAAAAATACTTCTTTCAACAACACCTACAAGCTACAACAGAAGCATAATTAACTGGATAGGGTCTAATGATTTTCAAAGAAAAAAGTAAGAAAATAAACAAGTGGATGGGGGGGGGGGGAGTGTTGACAACTTCATAAGCAAAATAACTTTATACATCTTATAAACTTTATAAATATAAAACAAACAGCTGGCAAAAGTAATGTTCATTACAAATCATTACAAACTGAACATAAAAAATTAAATATTCTGAGGATTTATAGATATACAAGCATGTCTTTACATATTTTCTTGTGTCTTTTTGCTAATGCAACTATGTAATTTCTCCTCCTAAATAAATTTTAGCTTTTAATTTTTAATGATTTGTTTTAAACTAAAATATAAAAATTTGTTTCTAATGTCATGAAATAAAAAGATGCACCTTAAATCCTTACCCTGAATTGTCTGGATCAATAGAAGTAAATACTCCTGACTCTGAAACCACTGGCGCCATCTGCCGATCATCTGCAGATTCAATATTGAAGATAATAGGTTTACGAATAGGGCTGCCTTCAACTGGGGTATCACAGGTGTACGATGATATATTTGAAGCATTTGGCCCACCATGTTGGAAAAGACCTTGTAAAAGTTCTTCAAAGCTTATTTGTCCGTCTTGGTCACAGTCTAATTTATCAAACAGTTGAGCAACAACCTGAGATGAAATTTATTGAAATACATATATATCAGTACATCTCTGTATAATACTAGTACTTATTATGCGTAATATTTGTTTCTTTCTATTATGTACATCATTATAAGAAACGTTTTATTAACTGTACGCATTAAAACCTATTTTAAATACAAAGTGAAACATTTTTATAGCAAAGTAAAATTAACGTTCTACACCTGGAATAAAATCTCAAAATATTTCTTCCAGTGTTTAAAAAGTGGTTAAAGTAACACAGTTAAACTTTAATTATTACACTTTTTGTTTGTTTGTTGTTAAGCATAAAACTACACAATTACCTATCTGCACTATGCCCACCAAAAGTATCAAAACTTTGTTAATTTGATCCTCAAGTTATCCACCAGAGTAAAAACCTCTTGTGTAACCTTTGAACTTCAATGTCTGGTTTTTCATGTGTAGTTAAAAAGTTCATATATAACATCTATTAGCCACTTACATATGTCCATAAAAAATTATGGAAATGTAAAATGATGTAAACATACACCTGTTTTACCATATATTTCTAGGTCATTCCACATAATGGATAAACTGAGTGATATATCATCATACTGCCCCTATCCTCAGGACCACCAACTAAAGTATATGACCTTGTGTAAACATACACCTGTTTTACAATATATTTCTCGGTCATTCCATATAATGGATAAACTGAGTGATATATCATCATACTGCCCCTATCCTCAGGGCCACCAACTAAAGTATATGACCTTGACACAATACCCTCTTTCTCTCTTCTGAGTAGCTAGTTACTTAAAATTATAAACTAACACTTTTTTCAAAAACAAGAAATAAACCAAAATAACTACTTGCCCCTAGAGAATAAATAACCCTGTGCATTTGCTACAGACTGCAACTTGTAGTGACAAAAAAAGTTATTCATCTTAAAATACACACAGTGCTTGAGTAATATTTAGTAATGTCTATCGCACAGTGCTTGAGTAATATTTAGTAATGTCTATCGCACAGTGCTTGAGTAATATTTAGTAATGTCTATCACACAGTGCTTGAGTAATATTTAGTAATGTCTATCACACAGTGCTTGAGTAATATTTAGTAATGTCTATCACACAGTGCTTTAGTAATACTTAGTAATGCCTATACAATAGATTACATGTATACCTAAAAGCGACATTTCAGTGATACTATTATTTGTAAAACACACAACATGCCTATACAAAATATTATATGCATTCCTTAAAAGGTATCCCATTGTGACACACGCAGAGTGACACTATTCTTGATGACAAACACACATGAATTCTTTTCACCAAGTTTCACTATTATATTTTTAAAAACAGAAATCTTTCAAAGTCATTTAGAGAAGCCTTGTCTCAAGAAGAAAAACTAAATGAACTATGCCTATCTTACAATTTTGTTACTTAAGAGTAAACAACAGAGCAATTACAAAATACCCTTGTATTATAAACTTACATCATCTGACATTTCCATCCCGATATGTTCACACACTCGGGTCAGCTCCTCCAAGTTCAGATACCCATCGTTTCCCACCTCAAGTTTTTTCCAGATGCTTCTAAGAAACTCTTCTGCATTCCTTACTTGTGAACCAAATGTTGTATCCATTTCAAAGAATTTAGTTCTTTGAGATAAACGGTTGAGATCTGTAGTATTTCCTTGCCTGCACTCTGGGGTGGAAATAAATGATTGAACGGGAGAATAATCTATTGAGGATTTGGGAGTAGGTTCACTATGGCCTCGATGTATAAATCTCCTATTTCGTTTGGAGTCCTGTATAGTGATGTCACAAACTTGTAAAATGTTGAGTTTAACTCAGATCAAACAATTTACCAAAAAACATCCCAATATAACTTGTTATGAATGTGAATTACATTTATTGCATAGAGAATGTCTCTAAGTTGGAACCTATGAGATTCAAAAGAATTTAATCATCAGAATTGTACTTACAATCTAGTCATTTAATTTTCTTCAAATAAATCTCACTTTTTAAGGATAGAGATCTAGTGTACATTTAAAATGACTGTAAAATTACCCGTTTCTAAGAAGAACTAAATGCTAAATTTAAATTTAAATTTAAACCTAACATTTATAAACCTTGTAAGGTTTCGAATATCAAAGATAATTTTAAGTTTCTCATTAATAACCTGGCATATATAACTCAAATTTGTTCAAATTTAAACACCAGTTCATAGATAACAAAAATAAATTTAAAAAAAAATGAGAAGAAATTAAAATCAGAAATCTTGTTATAAATTATCCATTGTCACTGTGGAGATCAAGTACAGTGTCTAAAATAATCATAGGCAGTGGCAAGTTTCTTTTTTGTGATATTTTATATTAAATGTTGCAAAAGAAAAGATTTATATTTAGTATATTTTCAGGTAACTTTTTATATAAAATTCAAACATTTTTTCTCCCGTGATAATTTTTTAAATGAAGATTATACTCCAAATGAGCTCAAAGAATTATTCTGGCAGAAATATAATCAATAATAATTCTTGGAAATATTTTTACATGCTATTATTTGAAGTTATACTAAAAAGAACAAAGGCACACCACCGGTTAGTATAAGACTCACTGATTCACATTGACTTCTAATTTTGTGTCAAAATGGTTAAAAGAGCACAGTACTCTGATGCTGTCCAGTTGCAAGTAGTAACCATATCCAATGTAGGTTATAACCAAAGAAAAGTTCAAAAAGCTTAAAATACCACACCAGACAGTACACTCTATACTACAAAGTACAAACAAATCAAGAAAGTGAACAACTTGAAAGACAAAGGAAGAAAAATAACCACCACACAGTAACAAGACCATTCAATTTTTGCCACAGACAGGTGTACATATCGTACAAGTGAGTGTTCATGTATTGTGTAGGAAATTAGTTGGAGATTAGTTTCATAAATTGTAAAAAAATAGAATAAAAAAAAATAGATTTAATGGTTGGACTCCCAGAAAAAAGCCCTTCATCAGTGCAGCAACAAGAAGAAAAGATTAGCTTTTACCAAAGAAATACTTCACAAAACCAGATGCTTTTGTTTTCAGCAAAGTAATTTAGTCAGGTGAGTCAAAATATAATTTGTTTGACTCAGGTGGGAAATTAATGGTGTAGTGATAACCATCAGAAGAATTGTAAGAGGAGTGTCTGCAGCCCACCATGATTCAAGGAAGAGATGACATTAAAGTATGGGAGTGTATGGCAAGGGAAGAGTGATAGCCATCAGAAGAATTGTAAGAGGAGTGTCTGCAG